CATCTATGAACTATTAATTTTCAAGACTTTTAGAAATAATCTTTAGAATGGTTAGTTGAATCAGTATAGGTTGGCTTTATGGGCGTTTGAGCCCCCATTTACTGAGTTCAATTATAAGTGTCGTAGCCCCCAAGTACTAGGTGGCATTCGAGTTAGTGTTTTGCCCCTTTTTGCAGTCAATATGCTGCCAAAATAGGTCTAGGATTCGTTCTTATGTTTCTCTTAGGACTTAGAAAATATATCCCATCAATTGATTGTTCGTAGCATGGACTCTCCCCTGTTTTTTTATGCTGAGGAGATCTTAGGAGGACCAATTCTTAAAGAGGTGGTTCTCCCTCGAAAGAGGACGACACGTGCTCGTAAGGAAGGCCGAGAGCGACGCGTCGATGCTGAGCAACGTCGTCACGAGGAGTTGGTTTGGGAAGCTCCTCCCAGCTGGGATCAGCAGGTCCTTAAATGGGACCCGGATCACCACATTTCGATTCGGGGTTGACGCGGCATAGTGAGTTTCTTTTTTTTTCTTTCTTTTTCTTTCTTTTTTTTTTCTATTTCTTTTCAAACCCATCATAATCAAATTTATTTTCAAAGTGAGCTTATACGGTTCGAGTGACTTGGGGGTCGCTTTGATACTTTACCTGAGGCAGTGGAGGAGGTGATAGAGCTTTCGGGGGTCGATCCCCAGCTGGCGGCTCTTCTATCGAGTTAGCTTGCGTCACTGGCTTTCCTTCGCGGGTTGCTGAAGTTTTGGTGTGATTCCACCAACACTTTTCACTTCCCGTGGGGAGAGACAACGGTTAGACTTCTCCATGATCACGAGTTTTCCTTTTGGAGGCGAGCTCGTGGTTTTGGGGAACGTGAAGGGGTCAGACGAGAGACTGTGTGACCTCGAGAGGGATTGTCTTGCGGCGGCCCTCCACGTGTATGCGCAGTCTTGTCTGTACTTGGTCCTTCCCGATGAGTTGTTGGCTGATAAGGTTGATCGGTAGTGTACTCTTGAGCAGCTAGCTCGGATATATATTGCTCATGTTCTTTCCGTCACTATTCTGAGTGGTCGGGGAGAGCATTTTGCCGTCGGGTTACTTATTTGCCTCAGTGAGCTAGGGCAAGTGGGTAACCTGAACTGGGCGGAGGTTTCGTATGCCCGTATGCTTACTGCTATGGGCAAGGCGACCCGAATGATGGATTCCACGGAAACTACTGAGGTGTCTCGGATCTCCATTTCATGGCATGACCGTATTCTTTAGGTGCGTGTTTATTTCTTTTATTTTTTTTATTATTTTTTATTTCATCGATCTTTAAGGCGATTGTGTTTTTGTTTGCTTATTAGGCCAGGGGGTAATCGTGCCTACCTTTCTTAGCCCCTAAGATGATCGGGCCGACTCGTTTCCCTATTGGCCATCGTTTGGTCATAATAAGGAAGAAACGAGCTATTACAGCCGGCGACTTTCGCTAGAAGATTCTTTCGGCGACTCGTGTATCGTCGGTGAGTGATAAGTGTCATTTATGACACATTTTAGGGTGTTTTTTATCCCTTAATTTTAGGGTTATTTTGGTGTTTCTTTGTTATTTCTAGTCCTTTTAGTCTTGTTTTAGTTAATATTGTCTTAGTTTATGTATTTAGACCTTAGTTTGCAATAATGTGCTTTATGCTCGGTTTCTTGCTTAGTTTTGCTTGTTTTCCTCTTTATTCTCTTACTTTGCCTTGCTTTAATCCTTTATTTAGGTGCTTAAAGTGTCTAAATGTGTCTACCTGACAAGGAGAGACCAAGATGCAAAGTAAGAAGCTTTAAAGTGAAGAGCAATGGAGAAGAGGAGGAAAAGATAACAAGATTAAGCAGAGATGATGCGGAGATAGCACAGCTGCAGCTACCACGGGTGCGGCCTGTGGTGCGCGGGCGCAGTGATCTGGGTTTTTCTTCGCGCTTAATCCCCGATTTTATCCTTTTTCTTCTTGTAATATAAATAATGCTCGACCCTATTTTCGAGTGGGATTTCTTTGAGCAGATTTTTACACTTTCTCTCTCCTCTAATTAGGATTAAGCTTAGATTAGGATTTTCTCTCTTTAGATTAGGAGTAGTTTTAGAGAGCGAAAGCTTGGGATTTCAATGGAGAATTAAGATCTTGAAGAAGCAATTATGTGGATTCTCTTCTCATCTATTCAATGAGCTTTTCTAACTTTCTCTCACCTTTGTTCTTTCTTTAATTCTTGTTTTTGCTTAATTCTTTGTTGATTAGAGTAGATAATTAGATTACTTGTTTGATTCTTGCTTTAATTCTTGTTTACCTTGTTTTCCATGTTTTTCTTCATTATGATTGCTAAGATTTTGTTCTAGGGTAGTGGGTGATGAATGATTGTGATGTTTGGTGATGATTATGATTGTTTGATTGAGATTATTGGATTATTTGAGATATTTGATGATTTATTTATTAATTGAAGTCTCTTTGGCCCATTGATTTCATGATTATATTTGTTTCTAGACTATTTGTGCGGAAGTGAGGTAGTTTAGGGCGTTTATTCATCAAATAGCTATTATTGACTAGTTGTGCGGGAGTGAGCTAGTTGATAATGGGTGTTTGACTATCTAGTGTGCGCGGTAGTGACCTAGGTAGTTAATTTACCCCCCTTAATTTCATTGTCTCAATTGAATTGTTGTTGGTTATTGATTGCATCATTAACGTTTTGATCCCCCACCCTAGTGTCTTTCTTTTCTTGTAAATCTCGTCTTTGCCTTATTTTATTTTATCCCTCTTTTATATGTTTCTCAACCTAGCTTATCGCCTTAATCAACTCATTTCAATACCCTTAGTCCTTGTGGTTCGACCCTCTACTTGCCTTATACTTGTATTAGGTAGTTGAGTAATATAAATGTGTTTGATAATAGGAGGTTAGTCCAATGACCTTATACTAACCTATTATCAGTGAGTATGGTTTTACAACATATGTCCATATTATTTTGTTTTAGTCGTCATCATTTTTTGACATGAAGTTGTATTTTGTAGTTCGACTTTTGCCCTTGGGGATCCCTGAGGTTGTCCGGGCAGGTGCTGTTCGCTGTCGTTTTTTAGCGCTCTATCAGGGACTCTCCTTGTTTCACCGGACAGTCGCGTGGTTTATAGGCGAGCGCGTTGTCTGGCAGTTTTCGTCCGAGGAGCCTTTGGTTCCTCTAGACCCTCCGATTCAGATGCTACAACCGAACCTGCTATCTACGAAGGATCGAGCTCAGGAAATCCTTGGTTATCCTACGGAGCAGATGGTTTTGCCTGGGGCTTCCTACCAGACTTTTGTTGCATCCAGGCTGACTCCTTTTCCAGCTTTTGTTCCAGTTAGTCTTTCTTTCTCTAGATTTTATTGTATTTTTTCGACGTTCGGATATTGACCCTTTGTTTGTTTTAATCTTTGTAGAGGGTCGAGCTGGGCGGTTGGGGTGCCTCTTGTGGAAGAGATCTCGTACACCGACACTTTTGGATCGGTGATCCACGAGACTCTTCCGGCAGCAAAGGATGAGGCCATACCGTTGTCCCAGAGACTGTTGAGTCGGTATGTTTATTTCGCATATGTACATAAATTTTTATCTATCCTACACGTTTTATAACTTTCCTTTTGAGAACAGGTTCCACGAGAGACTCAGAACGGCATGGTGAGGACCCTTCAAGCTTTCCGAACTGCTTATCGGAGGGCCCCCGTGGCTTTGTCATGCCGTGATCATCGAATGGTCGCGGTAATTTTTACTTTCTTTTTTTTTTATCAAAGTTATTACATGAATGTGTATTAATATCTGATTTGGATTTTGCAGGATGTGCAGCAGCCTTTCAGGAGTCGCCGAGCACCCTGATTCTACTTTTATTTTTTTGATTAATGGAAAATGTATATATACTTTTATATATACGATATTTGTACATACGACGTATTTTGTATATATCGCCATTTGTCTTTTATCGTATTTTCATTTTCCATAAAAATATTCGCGCAAAAATTTGCAAAAATTTCCGAGGGAGGGAAAGGGTTCCCGACTTACCCCCTTAAAATACAAACGAAAAAAGGAAAGGGAAGGGAAAAAAGTAAAATAAAACAAGAAAAAGGAATAAGGAAAGGAAAAGAAAAAAAAGGAAAAAGAAGAATAAAAATAAAAATAAAATAAAGGAGAAAAATAAAAATAAATAAAATAAATTAAAAGGAGAATAATAAAAAAAAAGGCAAGCGTGTGAGTTAATCATAAAACCGTAATAAAAGTATCCATTATTCATTAAGTGAAACACGAAAATAACCGAAAATTCGCTGCGACATGCTAGGCGCGCGCAACTCTGTGGTTTGTGCGCGGACGTCGCGCGCAGGTGATTCAGTTGCGCGAGGGTGAACTTTCCTTTGAGCGTATTTTGCCAAAGATTGGACTGTTTTGGTCTATTTAAACACGGTTACATCTTAGAATTTTGATCATCTCACATTCATTCGACACAGTATTACTCAAAAAGGATTCTTATTACTTTCTCTTTTTTTAGTATTACAATGGTGAAAACTTTTTAGCAACGTTTGAAACAATGGGTTACCTCCCTTTCTAGTGAGGATGAGCCAGCTTTTAAAATATACCATCTAGACGCCCTACTAAGTTATATGCAACTCAACATTCACTACACGAATAGAGCAAATTGGCAATGGTTCAAACCCCCCCCCAAAGGCAACGATTTTGAACCGTTGCGTATTAGAGGGTTGCCAAATCCCAAAATAATTGGCAACGGTTCAAAACCGTTGCCAACTCAAGCAATTGGCAACGGTTAACCGTTGCCAACTCAACAAATTGGCAACGGTTAACCGTTGCCAATTGCTATGGCGCCTTTTTTTTAATTAAATTTAATGTAGTTGGCACCAGTTCACCGGTGCCATTGACTTGTTTTTTTTTTTTAACACTTCAAAATCAGCATAAACATACACCATAATCGTTATTCTCAAAAAAAAACACCAGAATCGTATCATCATTCAGCAGTAATCACTAATGAACAACAATGAACACCATAATATACATGAATATATTATATTAAATAAATTGTTATTTTACAATTTATAAAAAATTATATAAATAAAAACGTAACAATGAACAACAAAACACCAAATCCTTGGATCTTGAATCCTTCGTCTATGAGAAATTGCTGTAGTTGTAATACTACCTGCATCAATTAAATTAAAACCCCAAAAATCAGAAAAAATTTCGAACCAATAACCTGGAAACTAATAAACCCAGAACTTTAAACAAAGAAAAAACCATTGTTACGTTTTAGTCTGGAACCTAATAAACCCAGAATAAACCAATAATCTAGAACCTAATAAACCCAGAAAAAACTAACAAAAAAACTAGAAACAAAAAACCCAGAAAAAACCAAAGTAATTCGAACCTAGAAAATTCGAAAAAAATCCGAACCCAGAAACCTAGAAATTTAAACAAAAAAACTAAAAAAATTCGAACCAATCAAATTCGAAACCCAGAAAACAATCCGAACCCAAAAACCCAGAAAAAACCAAAGGAATTCGAACCCAAAAATTCGAAAAAAGTCCGAACCCAGAAACCCAGAAATTTAAACAAAAAAAACCAAAAAAAATCGAACCAATCAAATTCGAAACCCAGAAAACAATCCAAACCCAAAAGCCCAGAAAAAACCAAAGGAATTCGAACCCAAAAATTCGAAAAAAATCCGAACCCAGAAATTTAAACCCAAAAAATTCAAGAAACTAAGAAACCGAGAAAAAATCGAGAAAAAACAAAAAAAACCAGGTATTCGAACCTAGAAAAACCCCAAAAAAAACGAAAAAATTTCGAACCCAGAAATTAAAACACGAAAAAAAGCAAAAAAAATTCAAGAAAATACCTTGCTTGGTAGCTATAATTGAAGAAGAACGAAGGATTTGAGAGTTTAGAGAGATCTGAGATGCATGCAGATGAGAGATGAGAGAGAACGAAGGAGCTCTGAATGAAAGATCAGAAAATAAAAGGAGAGAGGGTTGATGAGAGAGAATGAATTTGAGAGAGAGATAGAGGGGCTAAGGGAAGGAGAAGCCGAATTTTTTTTTTTATAAAATCCTTTTATTTTTTTTATTTTTTTTTTTAAAAATAATCAGTTGGCAACGGTTAACCGTTCCCAACTCTAACCCTTTTATTTATTTTTTTTAAAAAAAATTTATCAATTGGCAACGGTTAACCGTTGCCAACTCTTACCTATTTTTTTTTTTAAAAAAAAAAAAAAATAAACAGTTGGCAACGGTTAACCGTTGCCAATTCTAAAATTTTAATTGGCGCTCATTTTAGTTGGCAACGATTTTCATGAACCGCTGCCATAGGGGGGGTGCCTATTTAGTTTTTTCTACTAGTGATTAATTTTGATTTTCTTCATGCCGCCGTAATCATTGAACTCTAACCACCATCTTTTCCTCTTTAAAGGGGATGAAATAACCCCATTACCTGGCGAGTTCGAAGATATACTAGGCTTCCCAGAAAATACTCTCCCTGTGACTTATGCCCCTAACTTGTCAGATTTCAAACCTGCTTTTCAACGATTTTTTGGCTTGAATGACAATGATATGGCCAAAATTGATATGGAGCATGGCGTGAATTTAACTCAATTCATCAAACATTTTGTAACTCCTCGAAACAATTTGACTAAACAACGTTTTAAAATTCGTGCTTTATGTTTTTGTCTTGTTGTCAATTGTTTACTAAGGACAGGCAAATAATATGGAGATTATTCAATGGTGTCCATAGTTGAGCAAATAGAGGGATGTCATTCACCCAATCCACTAGCCTTGGCGGAAACTGTGCTTTGCTTGAATCGACTTAGAGGGGATCCAAACGAGAACGGTTTCACCGGAAGTCCACTCCTTTTACACGTACTTTTTTTTTACGTACCTATCAGCCCGCGCAACTTTGAAGGTTGTCCTGGCATGCACGGCGCAAGTTTCCCAATTGCACGGCATGTGCGACTCTTTCTGTTGCGCGCGCCACTTGTTGTCGTGATGTTCGCAATCTAATTTTTGTTTGTTTTCAAAAAAAAAATTTAGCTCATGGATCGCTTGCGAATCGCCAATCAGCGTGATAGGCGTGTCGCGTACCTAACAAAAATAATCTAACGAGACCACTACTATGTAGACGGGCAAGTAAGGATCGAATCTTAAGAGACTAAGGTTCACCGAATTAAATAGACTCAAATTATCGCTAAGCAAGTAGCAATCAATGGTGAAATAAGCTAAGAACTAATGTATGAAAAAATAGAATTAATCAAAAGAATATAATGAATCAATAAACTAAAATATCCAAGATCAATTATCACCACAATTACGATCGATGCAATTATCTATCTACACCTAGCATACAAATCCAATTAACATGGGGAAAAGTAAACCCTAATCAATACCAAGGACCTCTCTCGAGTATCAATGGCTTCTCTAACCATAATCAAGTCTATTCTCATGGAATCATGCAAATTAGAGACATTAAACACTTTACTTCTCTTCCCAATTATCAATTCAACTACTCTCGTGATGAATCTCAAACCCTAAATTGATTTACTCAAATCCATTAAAACCCAAATCTCGTTCTGATTAGAACTATGGAATAATAACAATACTAATTATCTCTAATCTAATATTGGCATAATCACAATCAATTTAGCATAATTAATTGCAATAGTCATTAGAGAATTTAAAGAATTAATTCATGCATCAATCACAATTGGGCTACCCTAGATCTTGGAATATAAAAACTACTCACGCATATTAGCAAACCCTAAAACAATAATCAATGGAGAAAACATAATTAAAAACAATAATAATTGAAAGAGAAGAGAATAGAGATGAATACCAATGATGCTTCGATTGAAATAACTCAAATTGTTAATCAACAATAATCAAATCTAATGAAGTAATTAAAATGCTTAAAAGAAATAAACTAGGGTTCTAGAGAGAGAAATAAAACTTAAGGAATTAATAATGTATGTTCTAAACTTGATTACAATGGGTATTTATACCCTTAATGAAATAAAAATAAGAAAACAAGTAAACCGGAATCGCAACACATTGCCCAGTCAGACCGGGCAATAACACCCCGATCGGGCATATATGAGTTCTTCGCAACACGTTCTTCTTCTTCTACTAACCCTCGGCGCCCGATCCAACCGTGCAGTGGCTGCCCGATCGGGCACGAGGCACATCTTGCCAATGCTGCCTTGTTCTTCGAATAACCATATCAACCACCACGCGCCTGGTCCAACTCGGCATGGGCTGCCCGATCGGGCGCGTGGGATTAATTGCCCAAACAGCTTCCTTTCTTCAATATTAACACCATCCAATAAATCCTTTTGTGCCCGGTCTGGTCGGGCATGCATAGCCCAACCGAGCACAGTAGAAAAATGATGTTTGCTTGCAATTCTTCTCAGGCTTAGCTCATGTTTAGCTCGTGTTTACATCCTTGTCCACTAACATCTCCGTAAACACTCAAAAACGTGTCCGAATCATCCGAGAAACTCTAAGTTCTTGTAAAACTTATAAAAACACACCGAACACATTAGAGAAGAGAATGTTAGCGGAAAATGGCTCTAAAGAGCCTAAAACCATGCAAGAATGTAATGAAAAGTCGGGATAAATCTATGTATAAAACGTGTATATTAAATTCCCCCAAGCTAAACTCTTGCTTGTCCTCAAGCAGGATAGTAAAAAATAATCAACAACCAAACAACATACTTCACCCCATAATGCAATTTTTAAAACACGGACTCAAAATCGAAATTAAACAAGCATGCATCCTAGCCAACCAATCAAATCACTCAAACCGTCGATCCACCTAATTAGTCGTCAAACAAGACTAACCATGTATATTTCAAGAATCGATGACTAGAATATCTCACCTCGGTGGTCACTCAGCACACTTTTTATGTGGCGAGCTAAAAATGAGCTGGATCTCTCACCGTTCCCACCAATAATGCATTCCCTCCATCTCACAACACTCGCGTGTTTAGAGGGTTATAATATCACTCAACCTAATCAAACGTCAACTCGAAATGTAACATATACTCCAGCATTTTGACAAAAGACTCGCTTCACATGAACACAATGCTATGCACGAAGATCGGAAGGACTTTTTCAAGCTTGTAACGTAGGCCGGGAATAAGAATGGGTAGGAAGTAATTTTGGAAATGAGGGTTATATTAGTCTAACCGGGGAGCTATCAAATGCAATGAGTCACACCCTCGATTCACCAATTTGATCAACAAAACGCATACCCAACTACAATGGAAACACCTATTACCCCTTTCACATACTTTTCCAACTTCAAGCTTTTTTCTTCTTTTTTTTTCAAGAACAAGGATACTTTCTTTTCTTTTGAGTTCAAAATTTTTCTTCCTTGTTGCTCCTTGCTCTTTGATTCATTCTCTTTTTTTTTTTTCAACAACAACCTCCATGCTAGTTTTCCTTCTTTTCTCTCTTTTTTCATATATTTCACATCAATTGCAACTTGAAATAGAATCACACAAAATACCACATAATATAGCTCCCCCAAGCTAGACTTGGGAAAAGTAACCAATTTTGGGGCCAAGGGGTAATTTTTGTGAAGTTCATGAAAAATATAGTCAAGCTACAACATGGGTGAGCAAGAAGGGAACAAATATTCTAAATTCGTCTGGAGGTCACCTAATGAACAATGGCCTTCGTCATTTCAACGTGCACGTGCAATGCATTATGACACACTACTAAAAAACTAAATTAAAACTAATATCAATGTCACACCAGGAACTAAACACACATGAATGAATAAATAAGGCTCAAGCCTCACGGTTAAACACAGTCAAGCTCCTAAATCATACATGGTTAATAGCTTTGACTACTACTAGGGACCAACCAATTCAAGGTCAAATCATGATATTTTAGTCCACAATGCAAGTCTTTCAATCGAAATTAAATCAAAACCTTTTGAGCATTAAGGATAGGGGCACAGGGAAGTAGTTCAATGGCCATTCATTATCATGATTTTCGTATTTTTCAATTTTTTTTTTTTTTCCAGATGAAAGCATTAAACCTTACTGCTAGCCTAAACACACTAAAGTAGAAAGAAAGAGTGAAATATATACCTTTTGTACACAAGGACTTCCCCGCAAGCTAAATGATTAACGGACGTCAATTTCGTTAGTCATTAAGGGTTAATTGTGCCACGTGACATCTCTTGATTAGTTATTTTTTTAATTTATTTAATTAATTATTAATAAAATCAAAATATTTTTAAAAAAAAACCAGCCAGCTACCGCCGCCTCCCCTGAACCCAACCACCGCCGCCGCCGCCTCCCATGAACCATACGCCAACACCGATGTCGGCGCAAATCCCACCTGAACCCCTGCTTCGGCGTTAGCCTGACCCAACCCCTTGAATCGGCCCAAACCACCATCCCCGCAACACCTAAAACCCCTCCCTCCCTCCCTCGAAAAAACCTCCCTCCCTACCTGTCGGCACTCCAAAACCCCCTCCCCCGTACCGGAGAAAGCAATTCACCCCCCCTACCATCTTCGCCCTTTCCCCAACTTCATCGCCGCCAGCTGTAGAAAATCACCACCCCGATACCCTAAAACTCCAAAATCGAAACCCTAATTTTGGTTTTAAGGTCTCGATTTTGGTTTTAATAAGGTTTTAGCGTGCTGGTTCAAGGGGAAAGGGGGCGTTAATGGCTGGGAGAGTGGCGAATTAAGTTCGCCGGCGTAGAAGAGGGGGTTTGGGCACCGGTGAGTGGTGATGGAGGGTTTTTCGAGGGAGGTGGTTTTCGGGTAAAGGAAGGATGGTTTAGGGGAAAGGGAGGGGCGTCGACGAGGCAAGTGGTTTTGGGGTGGCGCCGACGTTGTGGTTTAGGGCGGAGCGCCGGCGAGGGGTGGTTAGGGTGGGGGCAGGTGGCTGGCTGGGGAGTTTTGGGTGGTTGGGTTTATTTTTTTTATTTTTTATTGATTAAAAGAAATATAGACTAACGAGTTAATGTCCTTTACTAATTTGCGCATTTGGTGACATTGTTGTTAAACTCAGGTGTATATGGTGTATT